CTCTTGAAAAGCTTCTTTAATGTTTTGGGGGTTGTTGTGGGGTGTTTATCTAGGAAAAAGGGGGGCGTCCAAAGGTGTGTCCCCAGTGTGAAACAGAAGGCGCATAACTGGTGAGTGGCTTATTCCTGAATTCTGATGGGTGTCTTAAGTTGTAGGAAGTCGGGGAAACACAAAATGAGAGAACAGCCGTGGCTCCTTTTAATCCAGTGGAATCCAGAGCATCAGGAAATGCTGGCTATTTCAACCCAAATTCCAGCTCCTGCTGTGAAAACTAGAGGAACTGGTAGGTCTTAAGATGAGCCACTCCATCCATCACTTTGCAATGGACTGGCTTTGGGTTCCTACTTTGGCGAGCGCTACCCTGACATGGATTTCCAAAGACTCTCCTTTTCTCAGATAAAGTCCATGATGAAGCTTTTTTTGCAATCATGAATAATATTTGATCGGTTCACGTGGAAATCTGGTAAAATGATGGCAAGAAAATTCGGAACGGAGGGAAAGGAGAGGAAGAAAAGGGGCTGTTATATCATTCGTCCACTAATTTGGATTGCGACCAACCCTTTTCGATCCAGGTGTGGAGCTGTGTTTTCCAACCAGGCAGTGACAAAGAGATTCCCACTCTACTGAAAGACTGGGGAATTTCTCCCACTCCTTCAATTGGGTATGGAAGTATTCTGTATTCCTTTTAAGTGTGATGACACAGCTGGCCAGCTGCCTAAGCATTGACTTGCATACAGTAGTCAGTCACTCCCTGCTAAACTGGTTTTCTCCGTTCCTTACTGGTAGCCACTGTCTTTCTACTTCCATGGAGATGCCAGGCCAGAACCCACAAAGATCACCTGCCTTTTACATGATGGTGGCCTTTTGGAGAAGGCTGCCACATCTCTGAGATCTTTTCTAGATGTTTCTTTAATTCAAAAAGAGAGGCAGGGGCTACGGCAGGCTTCGGCACGTAACCACTGAAGGCCATTGGTTGCATTGCCATCAATCTGGACAATGGCATTTGCTCCCAGTGGATATAGTCCATGCCAGCCGTAGGGAACTCTGTGTTCATTCTGTACAGATCCTCAATCCTACTCAACAGGAATAGGAGTGAGACCAGTATAGCTGTCTTGTCTCCAGGGCAAGCTCAACTGTCAGTGTGAGGATGCCAATCAGGAGCCCATCCCTAAGGCTGTGGAATCAGGGGGATTACCGATTTTGTGGGAGCAGTAAATACACTCCGCAAATCAGTCTGAACTTTAATGAAGCATTCCAAAGTGCTAAATCTATTTTGAGGATAGGTTTCAGCACCTTGGATAGCACATAACAAGTTCAGACTAAACTAGAGATGGGCACAAACTGGTTCGTCCCGTTCATAAAGGTGATGCTCCTCCCCTCCCCACTCATCAGGCTCAGCTTGCTTCCTTTTTCCCGCCTCCTCAGCCGATCTCCCAGTCACGAGCAAGACCACAGACTTCTCTGCCTCGCCCTTTTCTTTGATTGGGAGATCGGCCGAGAGGGCGGGGCTGAGAAGCCTGAGCTGCTGCTGGGAGTGGGAGATCAGCTGAACATCACAAAGGCTGGGCCTGGTGACGGGCTGATGGAGCTGGAGGAAGCGGTGGAGGGGGAGCAGCAGCACCTGGGCTGCCATCTTTACAAACTGAGACGAACCAGTTCGTGCCCATCTCTATAGTAAACCCAAAGTTATCTGTATTGTCTCCATGAAACTGGCGTCATCAGCCTCCACAGCCCCCAGGTTCAAATTGAGGAGCACTGGGTCAAAACCATTGTATAGTAGACAACATACTAAATACCACACCGTGTCTGGGTACAGGTAGACGTTCCCTAGAATTCCCTCAGCATCTTCCTTGCACTGTTGGCTCAGATCTGCTTCCAAGAATGCCTCACAGAAAAGACTCAGATCAGACAAATCCATAGAGCCCTCATTTCCCTTCGCCTTTTGGAATAAGCCAGCCACCTTGGATTTCTTCACTATCACCATATAACCACTGTGTTTAACCCAAGCGCGGGTTGGTTCAACCCTGGCCACAACGTTCGCCCTTTGCTACAGCCTGGGCTTGGGTCTCTTTCGTGCTGAGCCGCACCACGCCTCTGCCCAGATCCCAAAGGGGCAAACGCCACCCTTTTCTCTATATACCTGTTTATGCTGCTTTCCTCTTGGTTCAACTGGAAAATTAAAAGGATAAATTTGGAAACATTAATTATTGCGTCGTGGTTTGCTTTGATGCACCGGTGCTCTTCTAGGCTAATTCCACATCCT